GGAAAAATGGTACTAGTCATTAATGCATAAGTAGTACTTTGGAACTAGAACTATTATCTAAAGACTTAAGTGATTTACTATAACTAGGCTAAATGTGAATTATGAAATGATGAAATTATTAATAATAATTACAAAATTATGGAAATTGATTCAGTTGTGGAAACAGGGTAATGAAAGTTTTGGTGATTTACTGAAGGCCACAGTTTGTGAACTAAATTCCAAATTCAGTTCATAGTCTGTTAAGCCAGTGGTACTTAACTAGGGAGGAACATTTGATCACCACTGGGTCTTTGTCAAAAAGAAAAAAACGCATGCGTGTGTACTTGCGCACACACACATGCACACACATGCACACACTCACTCACTCACTCACTCACTTTCTCTGGATATATACCCCTCCTGTCGTAGACTTTTCAGTTACTCATTCCCAGGGCTAAAATGTCACTCAAACAGGAATTTGAGAAAACATAGGGGATTCTGTTGTACATAATTAGTTAAGAACCGTCATACTAAACCATGAACACATACCTTTTATGTCTGTTTATTTCTTTTGAAAATAGTATGAACTATTTGGAATTACTCTGATAGAATGAATTTATGGGTAGAAGTTTTAAGTTTCAGGAAATTTTAAATCGCAAGTTGCTGTTAAAAATTCACACATGTAAGCAACTTTTGCCCTTTTTTTTTTTTAGAATTTCACCTTTTTAAAAAAAATTTTATTTTTTAATTTTTTAAAAGATTTTATTTATTTATTTGAGAGAGAGAGAATGAGAGAGAGAGAGCATAAGTGGAGAAAGCTCAGCGGGAGAAGCAGACTCCCTGTCAAGCAGGGAGCCCGATGCAGGACTTGATCCCGGGACTCCAGGATCATGACCTGAGCCGAAGACAGTCACTCAACCAACTGAGCCACTTCAGGACATAAAAATATGTGTAATTTTTATTTTTATAATTACCATATTATTTAGTGTTCAGTTAGAGATATGATGGAATAGAGACTGATTACAGAATCAGCTTGAGGAGGGGATGATGAGATTGTCACAATTTTCTGTATAAGCAGTCTTCTTTCTGTCTCTGGAAAATATCCTTCAAATGATAGTCTAGATCTAGAAAACCATGCTGAAGTCTTGTTTACCTTTAAAACTTAGTGAAGAAAGTTTTTTTTAAACGAGGAAATGGTCATTTATCTTTTCTCTAGAACGGAGGTGGCAAATACTAATTTCAAGACCCTTTTACTTCAAAATCCTTCTCCATATGCTACTTCAGGCAGCTACTGTTAGTTTATTGGAAGTGACAACAAAGACGAAATCTATTTGGCATTTCTGCTCTAGGCAGTATTTTATTTTATTTTTATCAGTTTTGTTTAGTTTAAATGGTATTATTATGTTGTTCCTGTGCTTCAGTGACATCTTTTTTGGAAATTAAAAATAATAGTGGGGTGTATTTTTAAAGTTTTTATTTATTTATTTGACAGAGAGAGAAATCACAAGTAGGCAGAGAGAGGGGGAAGCAGGCTTCCCGCTGAGCAGAGAGCCTGATGCGGGGCTCAATCCTAGGACCCTAAGATCATGACCTGAGCTGAAGGCAGAGGCTTAACGCACTGAGCCACCTGGGCTCCCCATTGATAGTGGTTTTTAACACAAATTACACAAGTGGTAATTTACAGGGGATCCGTCCCCAACAAAACAAAACAAATCAAACAAAAGGGAGGTTAGCTAGACTATTGGAATTAGGACATTGTTTAAAGAGATAGTTGACCACATAGCCTGTGAGCCAGACTTATAGCCTGTAAACTAAGAATGATCTTTACATGTTTAAATGGTTGAAAAAAAAATAGTATTTTGTGACATGTAACAGTTACATGAAATTTCATTTTTAGTGTGTATAAGTAAAGTTTTACTGAAACATAACCATGCTCATTTATATACTGTCCTGTGGATGCTTTTGTGCTATAATGGCAGAATGGAGTAGTTGTGACAGAAACCAGGTGGTCTGCAAGGCCAAAAATATTTACCATCTGGCACTTTATAGAAAAATTTATCATATGGTTTCACTTACTTGTGGAGCATAAGGATAACATGGAAGACATTGGGAGATGGAGGGGAGAAGTGAGTTGGGGGAAATCAGAGGGGGAGACAAACCAGGAGAGACTGTGGACTCTGAGAAACAAACTGAGGGTTTTGGAGGAAAGAGGGGTGGGGGGTTAGGTGAGCCTGGTGGTGGGTATTATGGAGGGCACGTATTGCATGGAGCAGTGGGTGTGGTGCATGAACAATGAATTTTAGAACACTGAAAGAAAATAAAATTGAATTTAAAAAAAGAGAAAAGGTTGGCCATACCTTGTTTTAAGATAATAATGTGACAGTGAATGATTGCTTTTGAGTTATTTAGTAAAGGAGGGAACTTATTTTGCTGGTATTTCCAACAGCTTTTTGAAAAGGAGTAACTTAGAAAATAGCTATTTTTTTTTAATACAGGTAAATAGCACAAGCAGCCCCCCCTTTTTAATAGAATACAGAGAACTTGGAGTTACTAGCCTTAGTTTATAATATGTCCACTCCTGCTTTTATTTCTTCCATTGTTGAGAGGAAGTCCATCGCACTAACACTGCCACAGATTTTAGCAGCTTATAATTCCATCTGTGTACTAGGACATTGTATAGCAGCAACGATTTCTCACACTTTTTGGTCTCAACTTCTTTTAAGACTTTTAAAAATTTAGAACCCCAGAGGTTTGTTTTTTTTTTTTTAAATAGGGGGTTATATCTATCATCCTTATCACATTAGAAATTGACAGAATTTAAAAATATTTAACAGTAACAGTAATCCATTATATGTTCACAAAAGAACATTTGTATGAAAAATATTTTCCAAAACAGAAAAATTAGTGAAATTTTTGCAGATCTCTTTAATGACTGTTTTGTGGAAGACAATTGGATTCTTTTTTTTTTTTTTTTAAAGATTTTATTTATTTATTTGACAGAGATTACAAGTAGGCAGAGAGGCAGGCAGAGAGAGAGGAGGAAGCAGGCTCCCTGAGCAGAGAGCCCGATGCGGGGCTCGATCCCAGGACCCTGGGATCATGACCTGAGCCGAAGGCAGAGGCTTTAACCCACTGAGCCACCCAGGTGCACCGACAATTGGATTCTTGTATCTCTTTCTCCATTAAGTCTCCTGTGATATGCTCTTTTGATATGAAGGAAGTCTGGTCATGCACATATATATCATTAGAAAAAATGTATTTTTAGATAATTGTGGATGTTTTTCTTTGATACTATACCAAAACTCAACAAGTGGTAGATTTTTTGCTTTTTGGGGGGTGGGGGTCAGAGTTATTGAAGTATAATTTACATAGAATAAAATGTTATTTTTTTTATAATATAATTCTGTCACTTTTGATTAACCCATAAGTCATATACCCTCTGACCACAGTTATCATGTAGAATATTTTGGTCTCTCTGAAAAATTTTCTCATGCCTTTATGTTATCAGTCCTCTCCCCTCACTCCCAACTTCTGGCAACATCTGATCGGATTTCTGTCTCCATAATTTCACTGTTTCCAGAATATCATATAGATGGAATCCCATATAGCATAATGTGTATTTGATTCATCCATGTTGTACAGCTGTCACTAGTTCATTTCTTTTTATTGTATAGATGTTTGTTTATCCACTTAGCAGTACTGGATATTGATTTGTTCCCAGTTTTGGGCTGATTGTAAATAAAGCCATTCTAAGCATCATGTACAGATTTTTGCATGAACATATGTTTTTATTTCTTAGGTAAATGCCTAGGCATGCTATTGCTGTGTAGGTAGTATGGTAGGTGTATGTTTAACTGTAAGAAGCTTGTCAAACTGGCTTTCCAAAGTGGGTGGACCATTTTGCATTACAGCCACCAATATGTGAAAGTCCCAGTTGCTTTACATATTTACCAACATTTGAGCTTGTTTTTGTTTTAGCCATTTTAATCAGTATTAGAATTTCAGTTTGCATTTCTCTAATGATTAATGATACCGAGAATCCTTTCATGTTAGTGTTTTCCATTCATATCTTTTCAGCAAAGCATGTTATTTTGAATCTTTTGCCCATTTTTTTTTTTTTTTTTTTAGAAATTATGTAGACCTAATTATTGGCTCATTTTATTATTCAGTATTTAAAGTTACATGTATTAACATCTTCACTGATCTCATGAGAGATTTTTTTTTTAAAGAGAGAGCGTGCTCATGCATGCACATGCGAGTGGGAGAAGGGTGAGGGAGGGGCTGAGGGACAGGGAGAGAAAGAATCTTAAGCAGACTCCATGCCAGGGCAGAGCCCAAAGCAGGGCTTGATCTCATGACCCTGAGCTCATGACCTGACCCAAAATCAAGAGTCTGACATTTAACTGACTGAGGCACCCAGGCATCCCTCATGAGAGAATTCTTTAAGTGTTGGGAAAGTATGCAAATTTTCCAAAATTCTTTCTCTTGAAAGATCAAATTTTATCACTGGCATTGCATACTGTCCATTGTTTTTCTTGAAGGTAATGGGTTTGGTTTGTTCATTTTTGAGAGCATGTCTGTCAGATGCCCAAGTCTGAATAACCGTGGTTGGTTTAATTCACAACTCAGTCATGCAGAGGCTTTTTCTTGAGGCAATCATTGTACTTCAGTATGCAGTAGAAGTGCTTTTGCTTAGTTCCTATTTTGTCACACAGGATATTGAAAAGAAATCTATCCATGGTCAAGATTTAATTAACAATTTTACTGCTTTTCATCAAGGACATTCTTAAATGAAATGAAACTGACCTTTTTCAGAGAAATATTGTGATATATTTGATCATTTTCCATTATTATGTTTGTTACACTTCAAGTCCAGAGATTGATGTAGAAACAAACCCATTGTTACAACACTGGGAAGACAGAAAGTTACTGATGTTTTAGGCACATCTGAGCTCGGTATATGGGAGAGAATCTCTTAAGAGCTAATACAGCTAATATTAAGTTGTTTCATTATTTTATAGGTGCTATACTTGGTAGATCAGAAACTCAGGAGTGTATTTTCTATAATGCTAATTGGGAAAGAGATAAAACCAATCGAACTGGTGTTGAACCCTGTTATGGTGACAAAGATAAAAGGCGACATTGTTTTGCTACCTGGAAGAATATTTCTGGTTCCATTGAAATAGTGAAGCAAGGTTGTTGGCTGGATGATATCAACTGTTATGACAGGTAAGGAAACTTTTTCTTTTTTTATGAGAATGTCGAATAATCCTCCCCACTCCCTTTTTAGAGGGGGAAAGCCCAATGCATGTATTTTCACTTAAAATTTTTTTTAAGATGGAATTATGAAGACCATTATAACATGTTCTAATGACAAGATACATGTTTTAAAGTAATAAGATAAATACGGCATGTTTATATTTTATCTTTGATACACTTTGAATAATCCACCAAGTAGTGAGATAGAACCATTTTTCCCCCTATGTTATTAGGATGATAAACTATTTTTAATGTCAATTTTGAGGAAAAGGGATTTTCAAAAGTGCTTTAAAAGACATTATATCTTTTGAAAATCTATTGTGTATCCTCAAAGAAAGTAAGGCTTCATAATAGTATTTAATTTTCTTTTAATTTCCCTCTTTATGTATCTGGAAGAAATTGATCTTACTGTGTTTGTTTTTTCCTTTTTTTTCCTTGCAAAGTGGGCCTTTGTTCTTTACCTCTGAGAGACATTTTAACTTGATATTTGGAATGACATCAGTACTAACAGAGTCCTTATTTAGAAAATTTTGCTTAAATTGTTTTATTCTGTATTAGAAATAAAATACAGTAGGCATGTTATTGACTAACTGTGATCTTCTGTAAGGAGTCCCATAGATGTTTGGCTGATCACTTAAATTGCCTGGGCCACAGGATTCCCACTGTGGGTGGGTGCTAATGACTGGCCGAGGCTGCAAAGTCCTAGTAAACAGACATTTTGGAGCCAGAAAATACTGATATACTCTTGGAACACTGGATACTTGCCTATCCACTTTCAGGAGCTTTAACTGATTACCATTAACCTGTGATGGATTAGCCATATGTGGCAAAATGTGTAGAATAAGCCATGAAAATTGAATTCTCAATTTTTCATTAGAAATAAAATCTTAGGTATATATGTAGTATTTAGGGTATACTTCTAAATCTCTGAAATTTCCAGGGATTTTTTTTCTCTGTAATTACACATTTTAGCTGCATTTCTGATTCTTAGCCTCTCTATTAATAGAGGTGATCATCAAGTGATATCTGTTATTATGAAAGGGAAGTAGGGCCAGTAGGAAAACAGGATGGAGGTTCCTCAAAAAATTAAAAACAAAACTACTCTATGATCTGGCAATTCCACTTCTGGCTGTTTATCAAGGAAATGAAAATACTAACTTGTAAAAAGATACATGCACCCCTACCTTTACTGCAGCATTATTTACAATAGCCAAGATATGGAAGAACCTGAGTGTCTGTTAATGGATAAAGAAATGTGGTGTGTACACACACACGCGCACATACACAGGAATATTGCTCAGCCTTTAAAAAGAGAAATCTTGACATTTGAGACAAAAATTGATAGACCTTGAGGGTGTTATGCTAAGTTAGTCATATAGAGAAAGACAAATACCATATGATCTCATTTATATGTGTAGTCTTTAAAAAAAAAAAAAGAACTCCTAGATACAGAGGCCAGGGGTTGGGGGGTGGTGGATGATTGGGTGAAATGGTTGAAGGTGATCAAAAGGTATAAACTTCCAGTTATAAAACAAGTCCTGGGATTGTGATGTATAACGTGGCAGCTGTAGTTAATAAAACTGTATTGTATGCTTGAGAATTGATGAGAGGAGTTTTTTTTCTTCTTTTAGAGAAGGAGTTGGGGAGGGGCAGAGAGAGTAAGAGAGCTGGGCTCCATCTCACAACCCTGAGATCATGACCTGAGCTGAAATCCAGAGTGATACGCTTAACTGACTGAGCAACCCACATGCCCTGATAAGAAAGTAGATCTTAACAGTTCTCATCACAAGAAAAAAAATTTGTAACTGTGTATGATATTTGATGTTAACTAGTTTATTGTGATCATTTCACAGTATGTACTATGTTGTATACCTAAAATTAATGTGGTATTATTTCAGCTTTATCTACCAAAAAAATAAAAATAAAAATAAAAAAAGCGGTAGGAAGAATTTGGGGGGGAAAGTCTTTATCCAAATTATTTCTTATTAATTAGTTGAAACCAGGGATCCTTGTTCTTTTTGTGGTAAAAACTATTTGTCTCACCTGAAGAATAGTTAAAAGATTCAAGAAAGGTCAAAGTATGGAGGAAAAGACAATGATAAAAAGAAGAGTGAAATTGGATGGTGAAAAGTACTTTTTTTAATTAATTAAGCTAGGTACTTAATCATTTTCACCTCCTATAATTTGAGGCATGATTCTAAGTATTAAAAATTTAAATTTATACATTTTTATGACTTAAGATTTCACTTTCAGTTGTTTTTTACTTTCTACTAAATAGATATTGGTGTAGATTTAATTTTAATCTTTGATTTTGTTAAAATAGTCTTCTCCCTGAAATTTCTTAAGCTTCCCATTTTAAATTCAACCTTATTATTCTAACAGCCATCACAAAAGTTTGCCGTGTATTTGTAAGATAGATCTTTAAATTCACCTGATGTTTATTAGCAGTATTTAAAGGTTTGATTTTTTTTTTTTTTTTAATAGGTATAGCTGTGTCCTATTAGCAGCTGACTAGGGTTTGTTCTAGCAACTAAATCCCTATCTCCTCAGCTCCCCAGGCAACTTAACTCATATCAGGTTTTGTGTTATTAGGTTCTGTATGTTGTTACATGATGTTCTCTACTTACTTGTTGGTTATCTTAACCCTGTTCATTTTGTTTAGGGCATTTAAATCTACTGCAAAAAATGACACTCTTCAATTCCCAAACCTAGCTTGGGTCTCTGATGTTGAGATAGGTTCTGTCATGAGAGGAACTTGCATCATTTTGTGTGTGTATATTTATATGTATATATGTATTCGTGTGTACACACACACGTAGTTTTCTTTATAGTGTTCAGTTTTTGTATTCATGCAATGGGAAAGGTATATTTCTTGTAAAAGAAAGCACTCATAAACGAAATTTCTTCATTGGCTTTATGTTCCTTTTCAAGCTTTTCTAATAATTAAAAAAAAAAAAAGATGGTTGCCTTAGATTGATCATTAAAAACCAAATTAAAGCAGTGGTCTTATGGAGCTAGTATGATTGCTATGGAAGCAGCTGGTTTTTTTTTTTGTTTTTGTTTTTTTTATGAGATTTAGCAACAGGATTACTGGAACATTTTTTGCTTTTTAAAATTTAATTTTTTAAAATTTATTTGACAGAGAGAGTGCAAGAGAGCATAAGCAGAACAACAGAGGGTGAGGGAGAAGAAGGCTCCCCACTGAGCAGGGAGCCCGATGCGGGGCTTGATCCCAGGACTCTGGGATCATGATGTGAGCCGAAGGGCAGTCCTTTAATCAACTGAGGCACCCAGGCGCCCCATTTTTGGCTTTTAAGAATTGATCACTGGATATTAATAAAAATCTTGAAGTTGACTATGAATAACGTTTTCATTATTTTATCTCTGAGAAGAATTTTAGAAAAACACTCACTACAGATTCAGTTTAATGTTGATTTTAATTATTTCTCCTTTTGTTTGTTTATAGGACTGATTGTATAGAAAAAAAAGACAGCCCTGAAGTGTATTTTTGTTGCTGTGAGGGCAATATGTGTAACGAAAGGTTTTCTTATTTTCCGGAGATGGAAGTCACACAGCGTAAGTTCACAGGGAAAACACATAGGTCTGTTCAACTAATACACTGAAAACAAAGAATATTTGTGTTGATGTAATAATTTACTCCTACGTTCTCCTACTCTCATTTTTCTCCTAAGATTTGATACTATAATAAATACTTATTGTGGAATTTTGTAGACCAAATCTGAATTGTTTTTTTCCTTCTATTTTCCACAGCGACTTCAAACCCAGTTACACCTAAGCCACCCTATTACAACATATTGCTGTATTCCTTGGTGCCACTTATGTTAATTGCGGGGATTGTTATTTGTGCATTTTGGGTGTATAGACATCATAAGATGGCCTATCCTCCTGTACTTGTTCCAACTCAAGTAAGTTATTTTCTTGTACTTTGTGCTATTTTGAGTTGTATATTTTAAAGAAATATTACTGTGGTGAAACCCACTGGGTTATTATGAATCATTTTCTTTTGGTGTTACTTTTTGAATGTTTATTGTTATGGTATCTATGGCTAAGTTTCCAAACTTATTGACTTGATATATCCTAAACTTTTCTCACTTAGGAGTTGAGGTAAAGTAGAATAAAGGGTATTATGTTCTTTGGACAGTTTTACTGTCATTGTAGGACTTTCAGGTGTGAGATTCACCCTGCTTTGTTTCTTGAGAAGTAATTGATGATGGAAAAGAGGTGGTTATGATCACTTTCCCTTCTTTTCTTTCACATTCTTTCCCCTCTATTCTTTCTTCCATTCCTTAATTTTTGTGCCCTTTTCAGGCTTGCCAAATATTCTTTGTTTATCCTACTTGCCAAATTATCCTTTTAACCATAGGGAGGGATTTAGTAAGGTAATCAAGAAAGTGTGGAAAAGAGAGGTTTCACAGAGGCATTAGGAAAGTATATCCAAAAAATGTTTTTGGTAAGAGCTGCAGATGAGTAGTTTTTGTCACCATTTATTTTGGTAGTTCCAAGTGTTGTTTTGTTTTGTTTTTGTTTTTGTTTGGGGTTTTTTGGGTTTGTTTTGCTTTGCAGCAGATCAAGTGTGTACTGAAGACTAAAAGCTTTTTTTTTTTTTTTTTTTTTAAGACCAAAAACTTTTTTAATGCCCTTAATTCTCCCTCTCCTGACTCTGAACATACCTGAAAATGTGGTTGTGGTGGGTAATCAGATTAAATTCATGTTATTTTCCTCATTCTTCCTATCATGTAGACAGTTGGCACTGGTATAGTGGTTTACAAGCTCTTTTAATATAAGTAGTTAATATTCTGCAGGCTGAGGAGAGGTGAAAACTGTAGTTATACTTTTTTGAGACATCTTTAAACTCTAGTTTTTACTCTGTTTCTTTTAACTCTTAAGATCAGATTACCTTGGCCTTCTGGATCTCTTGGTTTAACTTTGTTTCTCTAATACCACTAGGATTAATGGTTAAAACATGATAGAAGAATGGTAGAGTCCTATAATTTAATGACCAAAACAACTTCTTCTCTGTAAGCTTTATTTACATAACATACTTCTTTCTCAGTACTTGCAGCAATCTGTTAGCATTAGATTAGTGATCCACATAATCTTTGTAAGATGTGTATATGGAACCCAAAGGTAAAGTATCTTATTCAGTAAAGTAGGTAAACACAGTTTTGTACAGCTGAAATATTTTAACTTTTAAACATTAGTAATTAAATTGTAGATTTATTAAAAATTATCTGTGAAAGTGTTTTAAAAATAAAAATTTTAGTGCCTAATAAATATATGTAGTTTATTCCAAATGGCTGTAGACTTCCCCTTATCTTCTTTTGGTGGTAACTATTTTTTTTTTATTTCTGTATTTAGAAGAGGGAGTGTTTAGTACTTAGAGTAGTGTCTGAATTTACCCTAGTTTGTGTTACGAAAGAAACAAACTGGAAACTAAATTTAAAAACAGATTTGTTGTTTTCTAATAGAACTTTAAAAATAGTAATAATGTATTCTTATAGATAATATTGATATTTTTATAATGGCACAAAGATATGGTTGGGCTTTTTTTTAAAGGGCTAGGTATCCTATATATGAGGCCACTTTATTTAGAAATGCTAATTAATTCAAGGGTTTAGACTTTTAAAATGGAATAATGCAATTATTATTCATAAATAACTGAGAAATAGGAATCTTCAATGAATGCCCATTTCTGTGGATTTTAGATACTTGCTGCCATGTTAATGTCATTGTACACATTTATTTAGCACTTGAATTGCTCTGTGGTGAATTTGCATACATTGTATGAATTACTGAAAAATGAAAATTAGATTTAAAGTTTTGTGATGGAATGATCTAGAATGGTCAAGCTTTGTTAGGAAAAATATAAAAAATGCCCAACTAGGCTTTCTTTCTATCATAAACTGTGTTTTAGAAGAGGGGTTGTCATCAATTTGAAACTTCATTTATGTCATCTCTCACTGTGTCTCAAACAGTGTAGTGTCATGTTTTAAGTCTCATTTTTGGTGAGAGGTTTATACATAGTAGTTCTGCAACTGCCTAGTGCCCATCTTGTTATAAAATGCCCAGTTTTATCTCCAGTTTCAAAATAATTATTGATAATAACAGCAAGCATTTATTTGAACACTTACAGTGTACTAGGGTACTGGTAAGTTACACACATAAGTTTTATATAAGAATATGTAAAAACATAAAATAGATCATTTTTTCCCATGATTTCTCAGTTGCGACTGGCATATAAGGCTCATCTTTAGAATTTGTTATAAAATACTTGTGGGCCACAGCCCTGTAAGTATGGAATGGGGCCGGAGATATGTTTCTGATAAGTTTTCAGGGTGATTGCGGTGACCAGCCAGGAGTGAAAAGCACTGATTTCGTTTTACCTCACAGCGTTGTTTATGTAGTTTTAATTTCCATTTTATAGATAAAGAAATTGAGACCTAGAAAAGCTCACAAGTGTCAAAGCTGGAATGTGAATCAAGGACTCCAACACTAAAGCTTTGCTCTTCTTACTGCTTATGCTGTTCTGCGTCTTTTTTTTTTTTTTCCTAGAAAGCTGATGTCTCTGGTGTTTTAGATAATTTGGTAAACATCCCTGCCATTTCAAAATCATTCTATAGGCCAATTTATTTTCCTATTTTGGATGTTGAAAAGTTTGACCACTAAAATGAGCAACAGTATTTCATTATCTCACCAAGGACAATAAAGGAAGTCATGGATTTTATGTACAAGGACATATTCATGTGTTTTTCATTAAAAAAATTTTTTAGCACATTTTTCAGCATGATTGTGTTGTAGGTAAGGACTCCCGTGCAGCTGAGTTGAGAGTGCCAGTCCCTGTTAGTTACTCAAGACTTTTACAAGGGATAGGGTAGTTAAAACATGATAGAAGATGGTTAAAACAAGATAGTAAGGGAGACATACATTTGAAGTCTTAAGGTGATTTCTGTATTTCACTCCATATTCATGTCCCCATGTTCAAAGCTTAATTCCAAGACTGGTTAGAAAAAGATCTTATATTCTTGTGGATTTCTGAAACATTTTTCCTCCAAATCTTCAAACACTTAGAGCGATAAGAAATTTTTCCTTCCTTTCTTAGGCAACTTTTCCTTAAAGCTTTGGCAAAGGCTGGTTTGTGAATTAACTTCTCTCTTATATGACATTAGTCTCATTGTGATAATATCTCATTGACAGGTCATTCCTACAATAAGAACTATACTTGAAGAGAATTTATAGTGAATGTCACAGAGCAAGCTGAAGTTAGGTATACTGTGATCATTCTTTGGTCTGATTTCAGTCTTTTATTCTCATTGGGGGATAAAAGATCAGTCTTATGGAATCCTGGAAGACAAGAGATACCCACATATATATCCTTACTAAGCTGGTTCTGACAGCTAAATTGTGGGATTCTTTCTAAGACACCAAGATAGAATTTCTTTTGGTGTAGTATTTTATTGTGAAGGAATGATTTAAGGATATACATGCTTTAAAATCTGGTCTTATGGTTCTTAGTAACCAGTAAAGAATATTAATTCTCAAATCTAGCATAGTTCGAGGCATGGAAAATAATTTTTTTTTTTTAAATTGAAGCCATTCTTCTTTCTTTATAACCTATAACTATTACATTTCTAACACTGTCTTCCCCGTCACCCTCAATGAAAGCCTGGGGGACAACCACTGCTTTTTTGGCCCTGTTATTTACCAAGTCCTATTCATTCACTTTTTCATCCTTCTTGATCTTGTTGTAGTTCAGGGCATTATTACATCTGAGGCTGAGATTATTTCTGTAATCTCATAGCTGGTCTTCTCTTTCTCTCTATCTGTACTATTGCTGTAGAATAGCATTTTACATATCTGATTATGTTGCTTCTGTTTTTAAAAATATTTGAGGGCTCTCAGTGCTCCACAGCAAAGAATACAAAATTTGAGAGTATGACATGGGGCTTCCATACTTCCATACATTTACCTTTTTATTCTTTCCTCCCATATTCTAGAGGCATATCCCTCATATGCCTGTAGAATAATATTAGTTATGTACTGTCCTTGAAAGAATTGAGAAAATAGTGCTGAAGTCAGTTTGTCTTGTGTTGGGTCAGATGAATAACTGCATTTGAGAGAGGCTCTAGTCGTTCGTGTGCACGTTCCAGTCTCCCACTTGACTGTAAACTCCTTGAAGACCAGCTGCATATTGTAGTCACTGCTGTATTTACATAGTGTTTGTGCGTATAACTGTTCTATAAGTGATGAATTGCCAAATTTGACTTTGTTGCATTTAGAGTCATGTTGAGATGATAATGCAACATATTCAGGGATTCATTTAATAAGGAGCTTTAGGGCTTAGTTTTAAGATAAATCTAGAGGCCATATTTCTTTAGGGTAAAATAAGTTGAAGTATTCCAAGCTTTCATAAGACAAAGCCAGTATTCAGTTCTTTCTGGAATCACAAGCTTGAAGCATCTTTTTAATTTGAATCCCATAGGTCCTTTTCTTTTATCTGTGCTGAAACTGTCTTTCCACATGTAGGAATTTGCTCTTGTAACCTGCAGTGAGTAAACTGAACACAAACTGGTTTTTCTAGTGCCGGTGAATCAAGAACAGGAGGGAATGGCTGCATTGACTCTGTGATTAAGAAGTCTTACTGTGGTTAGAGGTAATGGGGTTTCAATAAAAGTGTTTGCATCGCTTTCAAAACCATATGTGAGCTGAAGTTTCCTGTTAATAAGATCTATATTTATGCTGATAAAAGCACTTGATAAGAAAGTGGATTTTAGGGGCTAGAAATTACCTACCTTTAACAAGGTATGAAGTTAACTTCTTGTTCATTTTTAAAGGCTATTTAAGTAGCACTATTACTATTGCAACAGTAATGCCTACTTAAATGACATCAGTCTCTTCAGTTCTTTAT